GTTTGGTGAGCCTGATGGGGGAGGTGAAGGGGGAGAGGGGTGGCTAAGGACTAAAGAAAAGACAGACAAAGAGAATAAGCTGGGTCTTGGTGGATCTCCTGTGCCTGGCTGAGGCCACAGAGAGAGATTCAGCCAGCAAGCTGAGTCTTTATTTTATAGTTGGAGAAAAACAACGTAGTCGTCAAAATAGTTACAATTTTTATTGTGAGTTTCACTTGTTTTGGCAGCACTTCCTGCACCTCCCACAGCCCATTAGCTACCCAGGAAGGATCTAAGGAGTGTCATAAGGTCAAGCTTAATTATGCTAAGCGGGCTGTGCCCTCTAAGCTGGGACTTGTTTGTGGCTTTGCCAACAGGTCAGGCCAAGGCTTAACCCTATAGCTGCTCCTTCCTACAAAGTAGTTTTGAGCATGTTACGCTAGAAATTAGATTAGCACCTTCTTTCAGCTCTCAGAGTACCTTATTATCCCTGAGAAAGTGATCCAGGAAAGAAGTGCCGTAGATAGTGTCAGAATTTTAAATCACTGACTTAGAGTGAACTGCTCTAATATTCATTTTTACTATGAGTGAAATAATTCAAGGGTTTTTCTTGTTAGCAATGTGCACTGCTATCAAATTCACATAGGGACTTAGAAACTGTTTTTAAGTACACTGGATTTATTTTTATATGAATTCTCTCTACCTGCAAAAAAAATTAGAATTCAGGAATGCATCTACAATTTGTTCAAGATAAAATTATTAGAGATGAGATCTGAAAGGGATGAAAACCATGGATGCTGATATCAACTTATCCATTCATCAACTTATGTTTGTAGATACTGTAAGTTGTCTTTAATTATAAAATGAAATAAGTTCTTCATTTGTTACATAATGCCATAGCTGGTTTATGCATCTGGGATAGAGTGCAGAGTAGCAAACATATCTTGTTGGTCATATGTCTGCAATGACATTTAGAATATGAAGTCAAACTGCTTTAATTACCTCCTTATGGGAACATCTTGCTGCTGGGATGACTGGCACATTTGTGTTTTGGAGTGAATAGTTTGAATCTTAAGAATGCTCTAGATATAAATCTAATATATCTCAAAGGCCTATCGTTGTTTAGACTGAGAAATAGATTCATACAATAATAACCTAAAGCTCAACAGAGTAGGACCAAGTTAAAAGCTGGCAAACTCTTTTTCTGTTGAAAATATTTTTTGATATCTCTTAAAATATTCATCTAAGAACTACTATTTTTCTAGTGAATAAAAATGTTGGGATCTGGTTATAAATGTGAATACATGCCACATGAAGGTGACAACCAACACAAGTGAAATCTTCTAGAATTTCTACCCTGTCACTGACAACAGATGCCTTGGAGTGGCCCAGACAAGAAGGTCTCACACCTGGGTAGCTAGCTGAGATGGTGGATCAGCACAAATAGCACCCTAGCATAGTCACAAAGAGTCCAGGATCCTTAGATATCACCTGGCCCTACTGTTTCAAATAATAGATTGGGGACTGAAGCTCACAAAAGTAAATTGGGCCCAATCACCCTGGATCAGTGGTTGAACGTCAACCTATGCACCAGGAGGTCATGGTTCAATTCCCAGGATGTGGGCTCCATCCCCAGTGGGGGCGTGCAGGAGGCAGTGTGAACAATGTTTCTCTCTCATCATTGATGTTTCTATCTCTCTGTCCCTCACCCTCTCCCTTCCTCTCTGAAATCAATTTAAAAAATATATTTTTTAAATTAATTGGTTTGTTCAATCACTTGTCAGAGCTAGACCTGGGCCTAGAAGTCAGTCTGCTCCTGGACTATGCCAATGCTCTTTCCTCAACCATGAAGCCTCCCTGGCAGAAAACAAGGCTTTAGCGTGCAGTGCCAATTCAGGGCAATATATTCTGACTATGTGATTCCACAAGCAATTACTCTGATTAATGGAGAAAGACCATTTTGACTATTTCAGATCCCAAACTTAAGATTTGGGGAAGTTAATGTCTTATTAGGTTTTTTAAATGGAACCACAAACAAAATTTGTTTTATTGTATACTTTCCATTATCTTTGTAAGCCTGCTTAAATGAATATTTGATTGATAAGGATTAGAATATTTAATCCCTAAATTAGCTATCTAGGTTTTTGGTTTTTCAGTTCTATCTTATCAACTGACTGCTCTCAAATATGTTCACAGAGCTGCAGGTTACAGGGAGCTGGCTTAGTCCAAAGAAAGTGTTACACATCCTCATGTTGTGAGATGCATTGTACCTGGTAGAGAAAGGAAGTGCATTGTGGAAAGAGTATGACTTTGAAGTAGAACAGATCCAAGTTTAAATTTAGACCTACCTTTTATTAGCTTTATAAATAGCCATTTAGCCTTATGGCCACTTAACTATTTAGAGTCTAAGTTTTTAGTCTATCTGGAAAGCAGTACGGTAACTTGCTAACATGGTCTTTAAAGGGAAAGACGGTAGTAATATGCATAAATCACCTGGTACACCTGGAAGCTATGATTCCTAACTAAGGTAACAGTAAGACATGTAACCCTCGTTTGAAAAAAAACACTGCCTTGGCTTTTCAATGTGTTTGAAAGGTTGGAACAGCTCCTTGAAGATAAATATACTTATAGGCATATGCTGAGAAGTGCTCTCTCTGAAATGCTGTTAAATTAGATCATGGGAGAGTGAACATAGATCTGGGAACTCTGGAGTCCTGGGTTGTATTCAAGTCCAGTTCCTCCATAGCAGGTGGCTTGGATAAAGCACTCAATCTCCTTGAGTTTGTTTCCTCATTTGAAAGTCAAGGCAACTCCCCAAATATCTCTGCTTACAAACAGTAAAGCCCTCTTCCGCTGAAAGAGAGGTCATGATAAGCAGCACCCAGGTCCTTGTATCTGTATGGACCTGCTCTCATCTTTGCTACTGATGTCACTCCAGTGACATGTTATTAGCAGTTTATGAGATGCTATTTAGATTTTCTTTGCACTTAATGTCATGCTGTTAATTCTCTGTGAAGCTGACTGATTTGAAGTGATCAATAGTCTAAAGTTGAAGGAGCTCTGACAACTGTGTGGCCTTGGCATGAAGGATAGGAAGATCCAGGTGAAGACACACTGAGACTCTCAGGGCTCCTGTCTATGACTTCATCACACCGACCCCGATCCAAAAGTGAGAGAAAATGAGGAAAGGCAACAAGGGAAAACAATACATTTATTAAGAAGCATGAAAATGCAAAAACTCATTTATAAATAAATGTAGTATAATTTATCCAGTGAAAAAATAGCTAAAATCCAGGAGTCAACTGGATTTTATATTTGAAATGATTACATATTTGATCTCCAATGATTTCCCCCTCCATGATGCTCTCTTAGTAGCAGCAGTTTTACAAGGACCATTGAAAAAGCTGTTACCAATAATTATCATACAAGGGGAAATTTTTCAAAAATTTCCTTTAAAAATAAATCAGTGCAAACAAATTCAAATTCTAACGGATACATAAAACCTGGGCTTATCTTCAGAAAAGTAGAAAATAAAAATCCCAAACATTTATTCATTAAGAAATGAAAAGGCATACTACATTTTGATCATTGAAAAATAATGCATATGGATATTATACCACGTTCTTAACCAGTGATTGCAATAATTACATTTATAATAAATGTTCATTCAAGTACTAGTGGCAATATTCAATAAACATTCAAATTCCCACTAAAAATAACACTAGATATAGTCACATGTGGATAGTACTTCTTTTGATTTACGGCTACGACAAAATTCATGTCAACAGGAAGCAAGTGAACTTTCAGATACTGTCTTTTTTCACTATAAACTGTTTTTCACAGTCTGCATATTTTATCTGTGAAGACCCCAAGAACATTTTACAACAGCTAATAAAGAAAGTCCTTTTAATAAAATAACTTACAGAAACAAACATTCCCAAACGCAAGTATAGCTTTAAAAATAAAAATAACAGGGCAGAGTCGTTTTTCTTTGGCAAGAAGTTGTTAATTCCTTACCAAATGTTGGTGTGCATAGTAGAAACACTACCAGAATACTTCTTTGGTATTTACCAAAGAGCCACTTAGTCAGCTGAAAGGGCTTCACAAACTATGGTACCATGATAGTAATGTACAGCTCATGTCAAAGTTGCACTGTAATCAACAACGTTTTCTTGATTACTGTTGTTAATGGATCTTCCTTCAAAGAGCTCCCTTCTAATTTTGGCCTGTGTCTCAGGCTGGAGTAAAAGTTCTTTTATCTGTTTCACTTTGGACTTCAGAACCATCCTTTCTCGCTGCAAAGCTTCATTAATTAAGTCTCGGATTCCAATAGGTCTCTGGCCTACAGAAAAAAAAAAATTTACAATACATTTTACATACAAGTGCCAGTGGAAAACATTCAATGTGGCACACCGACTTATCAAAAGAGGGCTCAAAAGAAACGTTTAAAATGTGGCCCGTATCTTATAGAAAAGGTTGCATTTTGCCAAAAAATATATTATTTACCTGAAACAAATAGACTATAAATCAAGTTCACTGCATAGCGACAGCATACATAGGACAAACATAAAACATTATGGACCATGTGGGTAATCATTTTAACAGTGATTATTTGAAACTTAGCACTTGTTAGCTGTGTGTATATGTTGGCCGCAGATAAAGTAGTCAAATGCCCTGCTAAGCGATATCAATGGCAGTATTCCAGTTATGGCAAGGCCTTCCATGGCCTTTGAGTCCATGAGGCATAGCCCAAAGTCCCCTCTCCCTTGGGCATGGCCCAGGGCAAGTGAAACTTTGGCCATTCTTCGTTCATAAATTAATTTCCTCTGCTAGTTCCAGCACTCCATTTTTCTTCCGTTGTGTTTCAGAAATGCAAACACACTGATCATGAAAGTATTAGGCAACCTCCACAGACTGGACAAGAAACACTTCAACAGCACATTGCAAATCAGTCCACTGACTCAGCAGAGGGGAGCAGGAATGCTTCTCACAGAGCAGTGGGGCCTGCCTGTGGTTGGGTCTCATTTCCTGTTGTCATTGTCAGTGCCATTCCTATCAGCCTCTTCCGTTTTCACAGTGCTCCCATCCCCTGGCTTGTTTTTGTTCTGTGTTTCTTCCAGATACTGCTGGACAGCCTTGAGCACTGCATTCTCCACCAGCCTCTTACTGAGCTTTACCAGTTCAGCATCATCAGGCTCACCTCCATTCTTATCACCTACATTCCACAACAGAGAAGAGAGGTCACTGAGATCATATTACCATAGACACTCAGCATGCAGGGGCCGGCTCGTGCAGTTAGTTAAAAAGAGCAAGTGTCCTTCCATCTGGTAAACTAAAATCTATAAATCTAAGAATACTGACTGGGCTTTTCATTTGGTATTGGCAGAAACAGGAGATTGCCTATTCCTAAAGCCTTCTGGTCATAAAGTAGTTCATAAGCCCTAATAAAAAATGCTCTACCTATAATGCTGGAATGTTCTCATTTCTGCATGGAATTTTTGTTTTTCTCTTATTCAAGGCCAGTTGTTATTACTGAAGTTTGTGTGCCCACCTGGAGCCTCAGACATGAATTCACCAACTAAACCTATGTCTCTTTCTCCTCTACTGCTAAATGCCAAGTAATCAAAATTTGCCTATCAGCTAACTACTTAAGAACACTAATTTTAAAATGTTTGTCCTACAGGTTGGTTGTTAATAGCGCTCCCAGGAAGACAAAGGTGGTTACTACTGCTAGAAACTGGTATAGAATAAAGTTTGTAAGGCTAATATTCTTTGTATAATAATTTCATTGCTATAACTGGAATCTAAAAAGTAGAAAACTCTTGCCCTACCCAGTTTGGCTCAGTGGATAGAGTGTCAGCCTGTGGACGGAATGGTCCCGAGTTCGATTTTGGTCAAGGGCACATACCTTGGTTGCAGGCTCCTCCCTGGCCCAGGGCCCTGGTAGGGCTCATGCAGGAGGCAACCAATCGATGTGTTTCTCTAACATTGATATTTCTCTCTGTCTTTCCCTCTCTCTTCTACTCTCTAAAAATCAATGGAAAATATTCTCGAGTGAAGATTAAAAAAAATAAAGGAGAAAACTCTTCAAGGAAGAGTTAGACTTATGATGGTGAACTACTAAATATGGATCTTTTATGGCCATTTTCCTTCCCTGCTCATGATGATCAAGGTTTAATTATTCTTTCTTTCATTTTATGGTAAAGCACAAGGGAGCTGTCACTCATGTCCCTTCAGTAAGTACTTCATCGTGTTCCATTGAGCTGTGGACTCAGGAAGGCAGATGACTGAAGGCAAAGATATCTGTGCTCCTAAATATATTAAGCAAATACTAACAGATCTTAGGGAAGTTATAGAAAGCAACCCAATAATAGCAGGGAACTTCGATACTCCACTTTCAACAATGGTTAGATCATCCAGACAGAAAACCAACACTGGACTTGAACAATACTTTAGACCAAATGGGCCTAACAGACATATATGACATTCCATCCAACTGAACCAGAATACAGATTCTTTTCAAGTGCAGATGGAATATTGGCAAAAGACATATGTGATAAAGAACTATTAATCAAAACATGCAGAGAACCCTTAAAATTCAACAATGAGAAGAAAAAAAAAAAAACATGATTAAAAAATAGGCCAAGATCTTCAATGGACCAGAATAAAGAACCCAGAAATAAACCCATATCTATAGAGTCAATTAATTTATGACAAAAGAGGCAAGGACATATAATGGGATAAAGACAGTCTATTCAATAAATGATGTTGAGAAAATTGGACAGATAGATGCAAATAAATAAAACTAAACCATCTTCTTATACCACATATAAAAATGAACTCAAAATAGATTAGACAACTATGAGATATTACCTCACACCTGTCAGAATGACTATAATAAATAAATCAACAAACAAGAAGCATTGGTGAAGATGTGGAGGAAAAGGAATCCTAGTGGACTATTGGTAGTATTACAAATTGGTACCACCATTATCGAAAACAGTATGAAGTTCCTCAATAAATTAAAAATAAAACTGCCTATGTCCCAGCAATTCCACTCTGGGTATGTATCTAAAGAAACAACAACAACAACAACAAAAAACCAAACACTAATTTGAAAGAATATATGCACCCACATATTCATTATTTACAATAGCAAAGACATGTAAGCAACCCAAGTGCTGAATGAGTAGATAAAAAAGCTGTGGTATATTTACACAGTGGAATACTGATCAGCCGTAAAAAAAAAAAAAAAAAAAAAAAAAAAAGTGAAATATTAACTTTTGCATGGATAGACGTAGAGGGTGTTATGCCAAGTGAAAGAAACCAATCTGAAAAGGCTATATACTGTATGATTCCAACTGTATGACATTTTAGAAAGGCAAAACTATAGAGACAGTAAAAAGATAAGTGGTTGGCATGGGTTGAGGGTAGGTGGTAGAGAATGAATAAGCAGAGCACAGAGAATTTTTAAGACAGTGAAAAGATTCTGTATGGTCCCATAATGATAGATACATGGCATTATAGTACATTTGTTCAAACCCACAGAAGCTACAATACCAAGAGTGAATAATAATGTAAACTATGGACTTTGAATCATTACAAAGTGTTGATGTAGGTTTATCAATTATCGTTAGGATTTTTTTTCCATCTGTAATATTTCTCTTAGTCCAAATAATAAACCACATTGTTCCCTATACAATTTCTATCATAATGCTATCATTTCTTATTGGAAACCTTGGTTATGTAATAGAATTACCAATGGTGATATGTCAGAACTAATATGTGTGTAAGGAAAGAAACGTATGATACACATATGAGCTTAAAATCCAATTCTGCTATTTTCTTTTTTTTTTTTTTAATCCTCACCTGAGGATAATTTTCCATTGATTTTTAGAGGGAGTAGAAAAGAGAGGGAAAGACAGAGAGAACTATCAATGCGAGAGAAATACATCAATCGGTTGCTTCCTGCATGATCCCTGACCAGGGCCCGAGCCGGGGAGGAGCCTGCAATCAGATACGTTCCCTTGACTAGAATCGAACTCAGAACCCTTTGTTCCACAGGCCGACGCTCTATCCACTGAGCCAAACCGGCTAGGGCTATTTTCTATCTGTACAACCTTGTTCACAATCTCTCCACAACTAAATATTCCTTCAATGGGCCACAAAAGATGATAATATACTCTGCACTAGTGTTGTAAGCATTAGAGATAAGTTATAAAATGTGCCTCACATTGTGTCTGGAACACAGTAGGCTTTGGTAGTTATTTTATTAGATTTTATACGTGTTATGATTAAGAAGAATGTGCTCAACACCTACTAAATGCCAACCATTCATTTACTCACTTTATTAAGTGTCACTCTGTTGTTGTAATCTATTTTCCCTGACTATTTGCTCAGGACCACTGTAAGTCATTTTGTGCAAAATGGATTCCGAGGTGCAATTTGAACAGTGATAAAAGAAGCAACCATTCCAAACACAAGTCTGGTACAAAGGAGTATCAACAGAAGTACAGCTATCATTGGCAAGTATTCTGATGACAAAGATGTCAAAAGTGTAAGTTTTTGAACAATTGTGGTCTTTGGCAGAAAAGCAAGGCTGAAAAATGAGCATTGCTTTGACATTTAAAATTATTTGTTCAGGTAATTTATTATAATATATTAAGATAATTTTACATAAAACTTTTTTTTTTTTTAAAGTATTACTAGCTTGAATTAGTATTCACTTGTTTGGCCAACACTCTTACTCGTGATTACATATACTTTTCTTTCTAGACTGATATTCTATGGTAGGAGCTGATTCGAGCAGAAATAAAGGTCACTTTCCTGTTCTGAAGGCAATGTTCACCAAGATAGAGCAGCAGCATAAATGCTGTCAGCAATCTAATCTGGTTAAATAAATCATAATTGTAGATATCACTCCACCTCTTCCATAAGCATAAGGACACACACACACCCGGGTCAGAAGGTTCCTCAGGCTCAGGAAATCCCCATGGTTCTAGGCTACTAATAGCAGTAACAAAAATACTTCCTTCAATTCATTTAAATAACACTTCACACTTTGCAAAGGGCTTTCAGAAACATTCTTTCAGATCCTCAAAGAAACCTTACGAGGCAAAATAAGTATTATTCTTCCCATGTAACACGTCAGAACAATGAAACACAAGAGGTTACATAAATTGTCTAAGATCACACAGTAAAATGATGGGAATTGGTAGTTCTCACTCAAAATCAGGGAATCAGTTCATCCAGGACACCCACCCCCAAGCAGATACTCCACAGCTCTCTGCTGCATCCTCACCCCGGGGAAATGAGGAGCACATGTGAGAAACACCGCATAATTTAATGACTGGCTAATTAGAAAATAAAAAATTCAGAAGGTTTCGTTCTCAGGGTGAAATGTTTCTACTAGATGGATATTGATTAATGTAGTACAATCCTTTTCTTCCATCTTCCATCCATCCCTCCTTCTACACACATTCACTGAGTACTCTCTATTTGTGGTATTCTTCCAATGAATACAGAAATGAGCCCCATATGGGCCCAGTCTTCAGGAAACCTGCAATTTAGTAGTGGCTTGTCTGGGTAACTGCAAAATTCAGGGTAGTACAGTGACTGATGTGAGAGGGAAGGAAAATGATGAGGCTGGAACTGTACGCAGGGGGGAGATTATGAAGGTTCCACTGAGGAACATACTGAGGAGTCTGTACATCATTTATTTATTTATTTGGCGCACCTACTATGATCAAAGTGCACTTCCAGATCCTGAGAGATACACAAATGATTAAGGCTTGTCTTCAAGGAACAACTTATTTCAACCCATTTCATATAATGTTAAAGAAAACTGTATTTTCAGAACACAGCGAATGTTTTCAAATGTAAGCTTGAGCCTTAGAACACTGCTCTGATTTTTTTGGAAAACATCAGACAGGCCACTAACTAGTGACTTTGCTTCATTTTAGGTTCGATACAAATAAACAGTCATGTCTCTTAGTGAGAGACACTAAAATACAAGTATAACTACAGTGTAATCACGAGCATCATAAATATTTTAAATATCACAATGGAAGAAAGTTCATTTTCAAAAATTATTCAAAATGTAGCTCGCTTCAACTCAGCTGCCTAATCCTAAACCAAACCTTTTTGGATAAGCATGGAGAGTGTATTCTATACCACATACATTTCACTCTAATTTATTCAACTAACCAATACATA